CATGGAAGCTGACAATGATGAAAATACTCCATGAGGTGCGGAGCCTTCATTCTCCTTTCTGACATTCTTGCCCCTTGCTGGATGTTTCAGATGTCTGGAGATCATCAGCTGTGGTGTAACTGGCATCCAATCTAGACATCTTTGCACTCCTAGAGTCACTGACCTTTGCATGCATCCTGTTCATATCAATGTGCGGTTCCTGCGTATGCTCTTACGTGATGCTACATATGGCTTTTCATGAGGTTGGCCACTCTCTCCAAAGGGAGATCATGCATTCAAAACCTTGAGCCATGGTGGCATGCATCAGTTGAATGGACTCCTCTCTGTTCTCAGCCCATGATATTGAACTGCTTCAGGTTATTCAGGTAACTGGGAACAGACTTACTGTTGCAGTAGAATCTCTTTTATTGTGGCACCCTGGGACCTGCATCTGTGTGCAACTGAGTATGGCTGTTTCTGTCAACCATCCCTTGAGGTGGATCTGCCCACAGTTGCTTCTTCCACTTGGGCTGTGTTTCTCACTCATAGGCACTCTATCTAAACATATGGCTTGATCCACTGATGTAGAAGAATTATTTGTATAGGTTCATACAAATGGTGAAACATCTCCATCAGTGATATCAGATCACATAGGACTAGGACTTAATGGAAGGTTTCAGTGATGTCCAGTCTAACCATGTAGTTATCACTAATAAATGCTTCGCCACTTTTATTAGCATAGTGTCAAGTCTCCATCTGTCCTAGGCTCCCAGAACCTGACTGTGATATTTAAGCTGGATGCCAGTGATAGGGTGCAGTCTGCAAGCTATTGATGAGGCATCCCAGTCAACGTTGGCAAAACACTGGAAATTGAAAAGGCTTTGGCTACAAGAATGCGTTTGAGAGAACAACAATAATCGGAACAACACATTGTTATCATAGCCCGATGATGTTGACCTCACATTATGGCATTAAGACTTTACCTCTTCCTGAGCCTGTAGGAATGGATTGTTTGGCACCACAACTTCAATGAATACTGGATCACCTCTCACCTCCAACAGAAGTCCGATAAGCCCCAAATTAGTGTACTTATAGATGTAATCAGCAGCAATGCTGACTCCATTCTGATTAAACAGTAGATCGAATAAGATACTGCCAACTATGACAATATTAATAAGGCCTTTGATTCTCATTTTTGTTTCACAGCACAATCTTTTCATAGTCCAGGTAAAACTTAGCGTTGCTACTCAGGCTCCACAACATATTTTAATTTCTTTGCCCATAATCTGTGTCAACCAGTAACTAAATGTGAAGATGAGAGGACCTCAAGAACTCTTACAATTCAGAATGGGAAGGCAGAAGGTGATGTCACTGCCATTGCGCTGGTCCTCATTTTGGCAGGAAATATCTGACTGGTGCCAAACCCACGCAGCCATTAATGTAGGCTGCAGCTCTAGCAAGCAAAGGGGTCACTTTAAAGCGGTATCCAGCAGCAGAGAACTTCTAACATCAATTCAAAAATTTGAATGGAGAGCAGTCTGGCCAAAAATTGCCATGCAAAATAACAATGACCATGAAGTGCCTTTCTGGGTGAGGTCATGACTCAAAGATGATTTTTAGCATGCTGGATACTATAGTCAATAATCACTGGACAAATTTCCAAGAGATGAAGTGTCAATTATTTCTGTGACAGAATCATGGCTCAAGCCTCATTTAATCCAGACATCAACAATATAATTTCACTGGTCAGGGGCATTCAACTAAAGGTAATGGGCCAATTGTCATTCTCAGTGTTAAAAACTAAGATTCATTGTAATTAAAGCTTCAATGGCCAAGGAATTAATTGGATTAATGATTATACCTGAGACTGGAGTGTACAGTTCTTTTGGCTGTTATGACCAGACCCCTTGTGGGGTTCCTCACTTCATTACGATTCCAGATGGGAGACCACAAACTGCTAAAGCTTCTTCATTCACTCATCATCTTGGTTGTTAGCAACGAGACTAGTTTAAAAGAGATAAAAAGGTGTAGAGCTGGATGAACACAGCAGGCCAAGCAGCATCAGAGGAGCAGGAAGGCTGACGTTTCAGGCCTAGACCCTTCTTCAGAAATG